TTAGCCTATGTGCTTTACGGATGTTGGATAAGATTGATATCACAGCTAAACACAATAAGACAACCAGAGAACTGAATTTTGGTTGAAAAAGAGTTGTCTCGAAACGAACAACCACTCGAGATGTTCGTATCGCTCACCTTCCGTATTTGACGTCCTGTGTTCTGAAAACATAGAAATTATAAACATCATCAAGCGTCAATTCTGTACTAGTTATTATTGTCTATTCATTGTGATTTGTGAACTCACAGCAATTTTTCATCATTATTATTGTATTACAATGGGCTGCCATCTTGAAATCTCCTTTGTAGGCGTTTGATATCCTTTGAGTGTGGTCTCTCCTATTGGTCTCTGTGAGTAGAGGTAAAGCTCTAGCTTCCTAACCTGGTGATGGAATCCCCTCCCAGTTCTCATACTTTGTCTTGGATGCTACGGGGGGGGGGGTGCCTTTTAGGTCTACAAGTTCTGCAGCAGTCCAGGCCTAGCTGTTGCTGTTGTTTCCTCAGTCTGTTTCCCCTCACACAAGAAGGTGCCATCTCTGCCGGGGTAGGCTTTTCCCTCCAGTCAAGCATCACGCCGTCTGGTCTGAGGGGTGTGTGCTCTGGAGATGAGCAGTGGGCCAAAATCGAAACCCATGGGCTTCAAGTAACCCTCACCCAGTTCACTCAGCATGTGTGGGAGGGAGGTATGTCTGTATCACATATGCTCACATCCAGGAGGATGGTTTGGTAGAGCAACATCACCGACAGTGTAACAGTTAAATGCACCAGGGAGCTGAAGTGTGAAGCCAAAGAGCACTTTGGTGCTATCTTGTGCGGGAGCATCACATCTGTCACTTTCTTTGCCTTTCTACACCTGAGCATAGTCCAAGAATTAGTACTGTAACCCCCCTTTCCCTAGAGATGTAAAATTTCCGGAAATTTTGAAGCTCGGGAAAAAACCCATTTTTTTTTTCGGGGGGGGGGGACGGAAATTTTTGGGAAAATTGAAAAAAATCTACATTAGCATTTCTTTTGTCTTTTCTAGTTTGAAAGGCATTCTGTTACTTTAGGAACAGAAAATATGACTGGACATTTTTACTTGGCATGAAATTATCACAACTAGCACATTAAAAATATAGTATATCCAAACAATTATTACAGAATACCCACCTACATGCAAAAACAAAATGAAACTTTTTTATTTTCTTCTGACAATCGCACCTCCTAAAGGAAGAAATACATCTTGTTCTTGCATTGGAGAGTTCAGTTTGTAACCTAGGACTTGCTTGTCCTCAGTGCACAGAAATTACATCAATCTGATACCATATATATATATTTTAGAAATGATTTGGAAAATATTTGAACACCTGGTCTTAAAATATTTTATTCATCATGTTAAAATAAAACGTTCCATAATCAATTTTTTTTTCTTTTCTTTTTTCATTTTTTCTGAATTTTTCCGGTTTTTTTCCGGGCCTTCCCATCTCTACCCTTCCCTGAGAGTTTTGCCTTTTTGTGCAAATGGATTTTGTGGCAGAACACGCCTGCAGGCCCTGTTCTGCCTTGCCCCCTCCTAGGGGTTCCCAATTCCCTGGAGAGACTTTTCCTTCTTTCTAGGGTAGCCCACAACCACCACCTGAACGTTGTAGGGATTTGCCACTGGAAGGATCAGGGCTCCCAGCTTCCCTTCTCCGAGGCCTTGCCCCTGTGTCTCCTGCTACCCAGTGTCTGGTCACCACAGGGACAGATTACTGCCTTGCGCATCCCTGGAAGAATGGCTGCTTGCTAACTGCCTGCCTTCCCCCTCCGGGTGCTCCATCACAATATTGTGTCCAAGACGGTGGAGGTATGTTTGGTACGGAGAACCACTTCCAGTATCCAAAGCTATAAAATGTATATTAATGTTTACAAGCGTACTTTTAGCACCACACCAGATGTGAGCAAGGGAAACAAAAGAACAAGGTAAAAACACACATCCTCTGCCCCTCCTGCTATACATGCCCTATCAGACGTTAAAATAGGTCAGGCTCCTTAAGCTTAGGATGTTATAAATCTTTACAGAGTATCCATTACCTTGCAGCTGTCGGTAGCTTTCTGAGCGAGCACATGGTCAAAGATGGCTGCCTTCCCAGAGGAAAGGTCTGCATGTGTTTGTGGCTGCAGCATCCAAGGAAAAGAGCCTGCCATCCTCTTGCACAGAAATTTCATCTCTGGTACCCCACCCCCTTGACCCCAGTCAGCCCAGGTCAAGGAAGCTTCTGTCATCTCCAAAAAGTTCCTTCCTCAAGCCTCTCCAGAATTTGACACACACACCCCAGCTCTCTGTCCCCTGCCTGGAGAAGAGGGAAGCTTGACCATCCCCTTGTCTAGACCTATTAGCATTTGTATGAAAGTGGGCTGAGGTACAAGCCCCCTGACTTCCTCCTCCGCCTAGAGAAAGAAAAACTTAAAGCACAAAGAGGATGCTTTGCTCATTGCCAACCTCCCAGGAGAAAATGCATTTCTTTTCCGTTTTCATCAGCAGGGACAAATTCTTTGTTTCGGATGGATGCAGTCTTCTTTGAGAGGACCAAGAGGACTAACGCCTGCCTTGCCTTGCTTGAAGTTTTTTTAACCTCGTAGGCATCACACTTCATCTGGAAGCAGAATTGTGAAAGAAGAGTGTCCCCTCTCCTGTGGGTCAGTCAACCCTTCCCTTTTGGTCTCAGCACTACCGAGGTATTGCAACCTTGGTTGTGATGTCTAAGGAGACCCAGCTGCTCATAGAGAGGGGATGTCTCTGCTTCCAGGTATCCAATTCTGGGCTTCCCTAACTCTGGGAAATGGAGTTGAGCCATTCAAAGCCTGAGGCTCTACTGTCAATAGGCGCCTCCACTCACATGTGCACAGGTCCCCTGCTGATGACTTCTCCAGTGTTTGCTCCATCTTCAGTTGCTCAGTAGGTTGCTTAAGAACCAGTACTGGAGAGGTTTCACCCCCTTTTTACACACACACACACTCACAACATTATAATCTGGTCCTCTCATCTTCTCAGACCTCTAGATTCCTAGCCACCTCCCCTGACAATCACTGAGATACCTGACACCAGCATGGGATGACATAGGCATGTTGGGGAGGGGGTAATTCCCCAGCGGAGAGGAGCACCCTGCAGCCATTCCCCCCCCACCGAAGTGGGGGAGGGGCTCCAGACTGGGGAATTCCCCCGCCCCTAGCTGGGGAATGGCAACCCTACGGGCGTATAATGGCTGAAGTAGCTTATCTTTAGTCACACAGTGAAGAACCTTGGGCTGTACTGGCAGCTACTATCAAAGCAAGGTCTTGCAAATCTGCACAGCCAATCAAATGGCCAGTGGCCAATCAGAAGACTTGGTGGCTAAAAGCCCAGCCTGGACCCGCCCACTTTCTAAAAACACTTGGGCACCAGGGAAGGTGTTGGCAGCAATGTTCCCTCTAAGCTGAGTTAGTGTGAGCTAGCTCACAGTTTCTTAGCCTCCAGCTCACACATTTTTGTCTTAGGAAGGATGGCTCATCCAGAGCAAACTAATTTATTCAGTAGCCAAATTGCTTGCTCACAACTTTAATGCCAGTAGCTCACAAAGTAGGATTTTTGCTCACAAGACCCCACAGCTTAGAGGAAGCATTTGGTTGGCAGGCAACATATTAGGGACCCCTGCCCTATCCTTTTGTGATACCATGGTTCCAGAGGTTTTCAGATTCTTGCAATGCTTCCCTTTCTCTTTACAAGGGCAGGCATCACTGGATTTATTTCGTCCTAGGAGATATAGGATCTTGTAAGAACAGATCAATATAATAAGTGTCAAGCCAAGTTTCCCGTGGATGCAATATAAAAAAATATATATTTTGACACTTTAAATAACTGTAAATAAGCTTAGAAGTAACCGAGCCTAAATTTATTTCACTAAAAAGAACCAAATAACAGCTGTATGGCTGCAAACATTTATTTCACTAAAAAGAACCAAATAACAGCTGTATGGCTGCAAACATTTGGCTGCCACACCGTATGAGCTACATTTATACTCCCATTACAATTTGAAGCCCTGTGATTTCTACACCATGTCTAAACTCTCACTGAAGGCCTCTCTTCTGTTTGTGCATCTGGGCAGCCTTTGTCTGTGGCACAACATCACCCTGCTGGGCTTGGCTGATGGGAAGGGCATCCGGCTGCCTTGTTCTTTCAAAACAGTAGCATTCGATTTTCTCTTCAGCCGAGACTGTCCGGGTGCTTACTAAATGGAATCCTTCTTTCAGTAAGACATCCACCAGCAAGCCGAGAACATTCGTGCCGTTAATCAGTTTCCGGTGATCAGGTTTGATAGAAACGTACCTGGAAAATATGAGGAAAATTGCAGATAAGCTTTTAGTTTACTGAGTCTGCTTTGTGGCTGGATTTGTAACTTGTCCTGTTTCTGAAATCTCAAAAGAAGTATTGAGCGGCAGATAATGAAGACATGGAAATATTTGGGACTTGTCATCTTTACTGCTGCAAATAGCATACTCCTCTTATGTAATTTCTACACCGCTTAATGTGTCCTGTTAATACTTATGCTGTGCCCCTGTTCTTTCTGGTGGTTCTAATGTCCTAATGTGTTAGTCCCTGAATATCTCATCTTGTTGATTGTACTGACTCAGTATGTGAAATCTGCCTTGTCCATGTGAGAAAGACAGACTATAAGTAAATAAATAAAATGTAGTCAGCTACTAATGAAATGGGTAGGTGTTCAAACACTGTCGTGCCTTCTGAAGGAAGCAGGTTCCAGTTCTGAGACATGGCCCGCTGTGAGAACAGCTCTCTATGCTTTAGACAGAGATTCAAAGCAAGAAGAGATGCTGATGCAGTATCATTACAGGCTCGCAGTAACCCATCCTTTTAATACTTGGTAATATCAAAACTTAGCAGCCCCTGACCAGCCTTAGCTTCTCAGAGCTCAGAAGCTAAGCAGGGTCCGTTGTGGTTCGTACTTTGATCGACCACCAAGGAAGTCATAAGAACATAAGAGAAGCCAATGTTGGATCAGGCCAAAGGCCCATCCAGTCCAACACTCTGTGTCATACAGTGGCCAAAAGTACCCGGTGCCATCAGGAGGTCCAGGACACTAGAAGCCCTCCCACTGTTGCCCCCCCCCTCCCAAGCACCAAGGATACGGAGCATCGCTTGCCCCAGCCTGAGAGTTCCTATCTATAAAGGAAAAGGTAAAGGTTCCCTTGCTCGAAAGCCAGTCGAATCCGACTCTAGGGTTGCGGTGCTCATCTCCGTTTCAAAGCCAAAGAGCCAGCACTGTCCAAAGACGTTTCTGTGGTCACGTGGCCGGCATGACTAAACACCAAGGCGCACGGAACGCTGTTACCTTCCCACCGAAGTGGTACCTATTTATCTACTTGCAATTTCTTGCTTTCGAACTGCTAGGTTGGCAGGAGCTGGAACTAGAGACGGGAGCTCACTCCGTCATGCGGCACACTTGGGTCTCGAACTGCTGAACTACCGACCTTCCACAGCCTATCTATACCTTGTGGCTAATAGCCACTGACAGACTTCTGCTCCATATGTTTATCCAGGTCCTTTTTGAAGTTGTCCATTGTTGTAGCCGCCACCACCTCCTGTGGCAGAGAATTCCAGGTGTTAATCACTCTTTGGGTGAAGAAGTGATTTGGGTATCCTAACCCGACTGCTCAGCAATTTCATTGAGTGCCCACGAGTTCTTATATTGTGAGAAAGTGAGAAAAGGACTTCTTTCTCAACCTGCTCCATCCCAGTCCAGGGTTGTTATGTAGAGGAAACCAGTGGCAAACCCAACTCCATCTTTGCTTTGAAAACCCCATGAGGTGTTTCCATGAGTCATTCGCAACTTGATAGCACTTTATTATTATAAACATCCAACCTATCACATTGGGTGAAGTGTCCGTAAGTGCCACTGTAGAGAGAAACTCCAAAAAGAGCCTGAGAATCTCGTTAAAGCACCACTAACTCTTGAGTCAAAACGATTCACTGGCCCGTCTCTTAAGTCAACAAGATAGACTAAGGGCACAGCAAACTAAAGAGCATAGACATACGAGAGGTTGCTGCAAAAGTTCAAACACTCAACAGAAAATAGCAAACTTGTCAAAGCACAATATCACTAATCAATAGCATTTTAATCTTGATTTGTTTCAGTGAATATCAAGAGACCAAAGTCCCATCAAGATGCAAGAAAACGGCAACAGGACGAACTTTCTCGAGTTTTGACTGCCCGTTTCGACGTGTCTTTGTCAAACATCAATTTTCCAGTGTTCTTCTTCACATCAATTGCACCATAAGGCACTCAAACATTCAAGGATGGTTATTCATAACTCTTACATTCAACAAATGTTTCCGGACAAACAGTCAGAATAACCATCCTTGAATGTTTGAGTGCCTTATGGTGCAATTGATGTGAAGAAGAACACTGGAAAATTGATGTTTGACAAAGACACGTCGAAACGGGCAGTCAAAACTCGAGAAAGTTCGTCCTGTTGCCGTTTTCTTGCATCTTGATGGGACTTTGGTCTCTTGATATTCACTGAAACAAATCAAGATTAAAATGCTATTGGTTAGTGATATTGTGCTTTGACAAGTTTGCTATTTTTTGTTGAGTGTTTGAACTTTTGCAGCAACCTCTCGTATGTCTATCCCGTCTCTTAAGTCATGCAACTCCATAATTAGCAGCCAGGGTACATAATAGGCGTTCAGTGCAAATGCATCGTGTTAACCGTGTGCCATATCGCTTGAAGTAGAAGTACTGTCGCAAATGACGCAAGGACACACGTGGCTAATCAGACATGACTTCAATAGGTATGTACGTTCACTAAGAAAAGCAAGGCCTTGAATGATTCTTTAAGTATCCCAAGAGCCATGTAACAAACAAGGGTGTCTCTCTAGCAGAAACCTTCATTCTATCAGGATAGTGCAGCCTGTGAAGACCAATGCTGTGTAGATAGGATAATTTCTGTACAGTGCCAAGATAACCTTTCCAGCAGTACTTGTTTGTTGACTCACTGCGGGGTGTGTGGAATGTGGACAGAGATAGCAAGAGAAGGAACTGTTCCATAATTCCGAATGGTAGCTGCTTCCCCCAAGTCCCCCCATAGTTGTCAAAAACGGTAAAACTGACCAGACTGGATTTAGTAAGCTCCTTGTAGCCTTTCCAGTTTTATTCCTAAAGGAAACTTTTACAAATAACCTGTTCTTGAAAGTGCTGGAGACGGGGAAGCCTTCAAAGAAAAACAAATTGTAAAATATTTTATATAACCCACATTCTTCGCTGTGAATATGACATGGAATATCCTTAAGTTTTGCATTTTTTTTCTTCACTAAACCAAAACGTTCTCCAACGATGGGACATTATTAGAGAAGCCACCGTCCCCTCTTTTTCTTTGTAGAGAATACACGACCAGGTGGATATGCACATTATTAGAGAAACCTTTAGAAGTTGATTCAAGCATGGGAGGGGGAGGTATTATGTATCTCACCAGGGATGCCCAATGCTCTTCTCCATAAGTTCCTGTAACAGTTATATACAGGGTTTATTGCAGTAGGGTGAAGGACATTGTTGGGAGCTTGTTTCTCTCTGAAGCATTGCAGAATTCTGCAAAACTAATTGGCCCAGAGTTCATGGCTGAATAAAAAGAATGTGCAAATACGAAGTGGGCAAGGAATGATAGATCTATGATTCTACCCCCAAGTCTCTGAAGTTAGCATCTACACACTATGGCCTATTATGCACGGGTGTTTTCCCTTGCTTTCACTGTGCATGTTTTTCTGTGTCATTCTGCATTGATTTTCCTCACTTCAGAGCTCAGTTCGCTTTCTGGACGCTGGTTCTCTGGGTTTTCTGAGTGCTTTTGTGCCAATTTTTCCCTTGTTTCACTTCCAAGCTGAAGGTAATTCAAAGGCATAAATATTCCCTCAGATTCCCCTCCACCCTTTGAAGGTCACTCCCCGCCCACATTGAGGTTGTTCCACCCACTCTGCACCTTCCACCATTCTCATCCCTTCATTGGTGTACAAGCTCCATTTTCCCCTCGTTTTTAAATTTTAAAAATTTTTTTACAAGCGGCATGAGTCTAGCGATATGATACTGTCACCAGTGTTCCCTCTAAGCTGAGTTAGTGTGAGCTAGCTCACCGTGTTTTAGCCTCTGGTTCACACATTGTTGTCTTAGCTCAGGAAGGATGGCTCCAGAGCAAACTAATTTATGTAGTAGACAAATCGCTTGCTCACAACTTTAATGGTAGTAGCTCACAAAGTAGAATTTTTGCTCACAAGACTCCACAGCTTAGAGGGAACATTGACTGTCACTAGTCTCAGATCGCTGGATAAAAAAAATTAAAATGACGGGGAAGTTTAAAAGGATCTGTGCAAGGTTTAGTTCCCTGCTGGTATTGACTTGAAAGGGGGATCAGAGAGGAGGCAAACAACAGCATCCCCAGTGCAAAAAAATAATAATTCAGTGCTGCATGCAAACAAAATAAGAGGGGGAACCATCAGTCTGGAATGAAATTGACATGAAATGTAAAGAGAGAAAGATACTGGGATGGGAAGCCATTTTTCCCTTTAATGCTTCAGTGAACAAACGGGGGGGGGGGATTTTGGCAGTCTCTGGAAGCCTACATTAAAATGGCCACACAAAAATGAAAATACAGTGAATACAGTTGTGCAAACAAATAACCAGAATAATCTGTCATGCTGTACAAATCACACTTGAGACCACTGTCTAATTATGCACTTCTACTTACAACCGTAAATAAGACACATAACAAATGGTTTTGCCACCATGCATAAATGGCATCTGCACCAGTTGAATAGTGACCTAATAGCCCTTAAAGTTACAAGTCTCTTTTCAGAATGATGCAGTCACTGGCTCATGGTGGAGAGAAGAGTTTCCAAAAGAAAACACGCAGTAGACAGCATAGGCTGAAGACTAGCTGTAACGTGAACCAAAGAAGCGGTGACGGCACACTTAGGTGGCTTTGCCATTTCTTAGGGCTTCATCAAACCACTTAGTGATGAAGCTCAACCCAGCTCTGGCAAGATTCAAAATGACTTGACGTCTACAAGTATGTTCCAAATAGATCTGGTTATTTGTTTGTACATTAAAATGGCAGCTGAGCCACATGGGCCTTCTGCGAACTACCGGTCTTAAGAATCGCTTGGGATCGATCCATTTGAAGGAAGAGTGCAATCCACACAGGACAGGCTTTTAAAAACTGCCAAGATCATGACCAGTGTACAGGATCAAACTGGAGACAAAGGAAAAAAAAACCACAAATTTGCAAAGAAGGGCAGGAGATGAGCGCTACTATGCAGCTGCA